CCACAGGGAAGAGTGTGTCACTTTGTGTACAGTTGTTGGTTCTAGTGTAAGCTCTGGAATTTTGCTTGGATTTCAGGTGAGTTTTCTCCATTCTATGTGCAAATAACTTAATTTTCTGGAAAGGTTTAATTAATATAAAGATTCTGTTGCTTCCTTGCTGTGTGTGGCTATGGAATTCCCTGCTGATAAATCCTAAGGAAAACCTGCTCTCATTGCATACACGGAAGGCTAAATGAGATTTTGGATCCTACATATTCCTGTGCCTTTAGGGAATGATTTTATACCAACCTGTGGTTTCAGGAAACATTTTCCTTGTGCTTCCCCTCAGGAGTTGCACTGCAATCCCTCCCAGTGTGGGGTATTCCATGATTTTAGGATAACCCTCTCTTCTTGCTGCCCTCAAAGCCCAAATCTTTCCCTCCACATCCCTTATCCAAGCCTGGAAACACACTCAAGAGGGAAATTCCACCACTAAGAGCAAAATCCATTTATTTGCACACCTTTGTCACAAAACTCCTAATTCATCACAAAAAAAAGAAGGTAGGAAAAGGGTTAACAGCTGTAACACAACTAAAACTATTGCACAGAACAAAGAGCTTATGAGAACCAAAATGCAGGTGGGAAGAGTTGCACCAAATTCCAGCCTCAGATTTCAAAACTCTTCCAAATCAAATCCCTGAGCTCCCACTGAGGTGTCCCCAAGCATCTTGTGGGAGCTTGGGAGGTTTTCACACCTGAGCCACACTTGCTTCCAAAACCTCCAGGATGGAGGAGGCTGAGGGCCGTTTTTTGGGATCCTCAGTGGTGCAGACAGAAAAGAGGTCGATCATGTATTGGTAGGATGGATCCAGCTCTTCCATGTTGAGAGCAGGACGTGTTCCCAGGACTTCATAGTAAGCTTCCTCATCAAAGCTGTCCTCATCGAAGGATTCGTCTGGAACAGGAGGGCAGAAAGGGGGAAGTTGGAAGCAAATCCCTTTGTCCTGGTCCAAAATCCCTCTGCAGATCTCTTGGAGCCCCTTAGGGAATGGAAGTGGCCCTGAGGTCTCCCTGAAGCTCAGTGTTTGGCTTGAATCCCTTAGAGCTCATCCCACAGGGATTGACTGATGAGAAATTAAGAACCTCAGCCTGGAGCCCTCCCAGCTCCTTGGAATCATGGAATCTCAGACTGGTTTGGGTTTGGAAGGGCCTTAAAGCTCATCGAGTGCTATGGGCAGGGACACTTTCCACCAGCTCAGGTTGCTCCAAGCCCTACCCAACCTGGCCTGGAATACTCCCAGGGATGGAGCAGCCACAACTGCTCTAGGATTTCCACCCCAACCCCTCACCACCCTCACAGCCAAGAATACCTTCCCAGTATCACATCTGTCCCAGCCCTATGGCAGTGGGAAGCCATTCCCCCTTGTCCTGTCACTCCAATCCCTGTCCAAAGTCCCTCTCCATCACTCTTGGAGCCACTTTAGGCACTGGAAGGGGTTCTAAGTTCTCCCTGGAACTTTCTCTTCTGCAAGCTGAACAGCCCCAGCTCTCCCAGCCTGGCTCCAGATACTCTGTGGCTATTCAGAAGGGAATGGAGCTGGGGAAGGTGCTGGAGCAGCAGGAGGGAGCTATGGTGGCTCAGCTTGGACCAAAGGAGGCTCTGGGGAACTTTCTGATCTCTCCAACTCCCTGACAGGAGGTGCAGCCAGGTGGGGTCAGGCTCTGCTCCCAGGGAACAAGGGACATGAGGAGAGGAAACACTTCAAGTTGTGTCAGGGGAGGTTCAGGTTGGACCTCAGGAGGAATTTCTCCATGGAAGGGGCTGTCAGGCATTGGAAGGGTCTGCCAAGGGAGGGGGTGGAGCCTACAAACCTTCATCCCCTGTGCCCATGCCCCGGTCGATGTGAGGGATGGAGAGAGTCATCATTTCCCACAGAGTCAGCCCAAAGGCAAAGATATCAGCCTTGTCTGTGATCACTCCGTCCTCCTCCAGGGCCTCCTTGGGCTTCCAGGGCTCAGTCCCAATGTAGCACAGCTCGGGATCACTCACTGCAAGGAAACATGTTTCGGACATCATTCCCAGGGCAGGGGTGGAGGCACAGGTGGTTAGTGGTGACCTTGGCCATGCTGGGAATGGTTGGACTTGATGACCCCAGAGGTGTTTTCCAACCTAAATGATCTTGTGACTTATGTCCCATCAGTCCAAGTTGCTCCAAGCCCCATCCAACCTGGCCTGGAACATTCCCAAAGATGGAGCAGCCACAGCTGCTTTGGGAATTCCATCCTAGCCCCTCACCACCACCCTCACAGCCAAGAATTCCTTCCCAGTATCCCATCTCTCCCTGCCCTCTGGCAGTGGGAAGCCATTCCCTGTGTCCTGTCCCTCCAGGCCCTTGTCCCAAGTCCCTCTGCAGCTCTCTTGGGGCCTCTGTAGGCTTCCAGGGAACAAGGGACAGGACAAGAGGAAGCACCTCAGGCTGTGCCAGAGGAGGTTCAGGTTGGATATTAGGGAAAATCCCTCCTGGAAAGCGCTGTCCAGCCCTGGCACAGGCTGCTCAGGGCAGATGGGGAGTCCTCATTCCTGGCGGGATTTAACCACGTGGATGTGGCACTTGAGGACATGACTAGTGGGGGGCTTTGAATTGCAGACAAGACACATTCCCAGCTCAGCATTCCACAAGGATTGAGCCAGTGTGTGAGCTCAGGGATGCTAATCCCAGGGCACCACCTCCTGGAAGCCTGGAGCTATTATGATTTTCACATCCATGGGGTCTTGCATTCCCTGGAAGCTGTGACTTGCTCACTGGCAATGCCAGACCTCCTCCAAGATTCCGGTTAACCTGATCCCTTCCCTCCTGTCCAGGAGATTCCTCTGCCACCAGCTTTTTGCACCGCATAAAAGGGAAAAGCTACTAATAAAACCATAACTGAGCAGCTTGAGAAATTTCAAGGCTGTGGAAGGTCCAAGTGGTGGGGAGAGGCTTAGTGGTGTTATCCCAAACACATTCCTGGTGTTCACAGCCAGTTGAGGAGGCCACTGGACATCTGCATCTCATCTCCATAAAGCCTTCAGAACCCTGGAATTGGCTCCTGCTTCCTCCTAATCCTAGGAGGAAGCTTCATGTACTTAACCCTCTGGCAAGAGCATCTCAGGGAGGTCTAGCATTCCATGGATAATGGTGATCCTGCTCCTAGGAGGACCTACCTGTCATGTTCTCGTCCAGGGGCAGCGACACTCCCACGTCACAGATCTTGACGGCCTCAAAGTCACCTTTGACCACCACGTTGGGAGATTTGATGTCCCCATGGAGCAACTTCTTGTCATTGTGAAGGTACTGAGGAGCATCCAACAGAGATATATAGGCAGGAAGGGCTATTGGATTGGGATAACTCCTAGTCCAGGTGTCTCCAAGCCCCATCCAACCTGGCCTGGAACACTTCCTGGGATGGAGCAGCCCCAGTTGCTCTGGGCCACCTGTGCCAGTGCCTCACCACCCTCACAGCCAGGAATTCCTTCCCAATATCCCATTTAAGCTTCCCTAAATGCCCCCTCAGTTCAGCACAGTGGGTGCAAAGGGCCACCAGCACAACCTTCTCCCTGTATCCATGAGTTTTCCCAGTGTCAGCAGTGCACAGTGGTGCCCCCAGAACATCCAACCTACCTTCAGCCCTCTGGCCATGCTCAAGGCAACCTTGAAGATGGTGTCAGCAGGGAAAGGGCCCAGTCCCTTCTCCCTTCTCTCCTCAATTAAGTCGTTGAGGGATTTGTCCCCTCCATATTCCATGGCCAAACACATGGAGCCATCGTTGGCCTCGGTGAACGCTCGATAACCTGCAACAGGGACCTGTCAGTGCCTCCGGGGAGCTGCAGCCACGTCCTGGCAGGATAAGCACCAGGAGATGGGAGAGAAGCAGCAGCTCTGGAATGGTTTCGGTTGGAGGGACCTTAAGGCTTGTCCAGTCCCACTCAGGGACACCTCCCACCAGCCCAGGTTGCTCCAAGCCCCATCCAACCTGGCCTGGAACACTCCCAGGGATGGAGCAGCCACAGCTGCTCTGGGCAACCTGTGCCAGTGCCTCACCACCCTCACAGACAAGCATTCCTTACCACTATCCCATCTCTCCCTGACCTCTGGCAGTGGGAAGCCATTCCCTGTGTCCTGTCCCTCCAGGCCCTTGTCCCAAGTCCCTCTGCAGCTCTCTTGGAGTCCCTTGAGGCACTGGAAGGACCCACAGGGATTGTCTGATGAAAATCTGAGAACCTCAGCCTGGAGCCATCCCAGCCAGCAGCATCCTCAGCTCCATGGAATCATAGACTCCCAGACTGGTTTGGGTTGGAAGGGACCTTAAAGCTCATCCAGTTTCATCTCTGCCATAGTGGCATGGGATGGAACTCCCTCTGCATCTCTCTTGGAGTCCCTCTAGGGACTGGAAGGGGCTCTAAATTCTCCCTGAATCCTTCTCTTCTCCAGGCTGAGCAATCCCATTCTCTCTCCACATTTTCTGGCTGGCTGTGATCATCTATCCTCAGGTGGAGTCCGAGGTGACAACAAAGCAGTGAAGTATTTGCAGTGTGAAAGGTCAAGACTGTCCTTGCCCACACATTCCTGCCTGAGGCAGGACATGTCTTCCTGGGCACACCAAATTCCTTGCAGCAGCATTCCTCACCCTGCTGACCTCACCTGGGAGAGCTTTGACACAAACAAATAGATCAAGTGATTCAAAGGGGCTGAGCTGTCTCAGCTGGGACAAGATAAGAGCAGAAGTTAATCACAGACTGAAAAACTTCCTCAAAACGTTCCCACCAGGAGAGCCAAGAGTGGGACAAAGCTCCATTGTCACCCAGACAGGTCAGGGTTGGGCTCTGCTCCCAGGGAACAAGGGACAGGATGAGAAGAAATAGCCTCAGGCTGTGCTAGGGGAGGTTCAGGTTGGATATTAGGAATATTCCTCCCTGGAAAGGGCTGTCCAGCCCTGGCACAGTTGCCCAGGGCAGGGCTGGAATCACCATCCCTGTGGGGGATTTAGTGATGGCCTCGGTCTATGGTGGCCCTGAGCAAAGCCATGGGAATCCCAGCACAACCTACCTCCTGTGGGTGAGGAGTTTCCAGTGACCATCCTGTCCCATCCCTGGAAGTGTTCCAGGCCAGGCTGGATGCAGCTGGGAGCAACCTGATCCAGTGGAAGGTGTAGGGACACCTGTGGCAGGGGGTGGGACTGGATGGGCTTTAAGGTCCTTCCAACCCAACCCATTCCTTGATTCCATGGCCCTCCCATCCTTAGGGCTCCAGACTTCCAGAGTCAGTTGGAAGCTTTGTGACCTCCAGTCCTTGCTGTCAGCAGATCCCAGTGAATCCTGGGATCATCTCCCATCATCCACCTCTGGATTCACCTCAATAGCTCCAATCCCAATTTACCAAACCCTGGAGTCTCACCCACGATGTTGGGATGCTGCAGGTCCCTCAGGATCTTGGCCTCTTCCCTCAGTCTCTGCTGGTAGAGGCTTTGTTGGCTCCTGTTGCATTGGGAATTGATCTTCTTCACAGCCCATGGAGAACGGGACAAACCTCTGGGAGATCTGCATGGGAAAGTCCAGAGGTGTCAGAGCTGCTCCCTTTGGAAGCACCTCCATGGATAACACTGGCACAGGTCCCTGAGGGGCTGAGCTGGAGAAGCTCTGCCTTTATTTCTTGGAATTAACAAGGAAAACTGTTTAAAGGGCCAAAATCTCTCACTTCACACAGGGCTGATGTGCATAGGAATGCTCTGCTCCTCCATGGAATTCTCAAGGAAAGGAGAGTTGGCTCAATTCCCATTGATCCCAAAGGATTCAAGCAAAACGCTGTGCTCCAGGGAGACCTCAGAGCCCCTTCCAGTGCCTCAAGGGGCTCCAAGAGAGCTGCAGAGGGACTTGGGACAAGGGCCTGGAGGGACAGGACACAGGGAATGGCTTCCCACTGCCAGAGGTCAGGGAGAGATGGGATATTGAGAAGGAATTCCTGGCTGTGAGGGTAGTGAGGGGCTGGCACAGGTTGTCCAGAGCAGCTTGGCTGCTCCTGGGAATGTTCCAACCTGGGCTGGAACACTTCCATATCCATGTGAAGGACCAGTAGCACTTCCTTTCTCAGGGCTCACTTCCACCCCCTATATAATTTCTGGGAACAATCCCTGTTCCCAAGCTCCAGTTCCCACCTGTGCTCTCCCACATACCTCTTCATCAGGTACACGTTGACTCCAGTGCCATATCCAAGCTTCTGCATGAAGGGAGAAACCTGGGCTGGAACACTTCCATATCCATGTGAAGGACCAGTAGCACTTCCTTTCTCAGGGCTCACTTCCACCCCCTATATAATTTCTGGGAACAATCCCTGTTCCCAAGCTCCAGTTCCCACCTGTGCTCTCCCACATACCTCTTCATCAGGTACACGTTGACTCCAGTGCCATATCCAAGCTTCTGCATGAAGGGAGAAGCTGGAATAGTGATGGGTACTGGTCCTGCATCTGGAAGGAAAAGAGACATCAGATCCCAGGAGTGATCCTGTGGCAGCTCCAGACCTTCTCCAGCTGGACATGGGCCCAGCTGGGCTCTGCTCCCAGGGAACAAGGGACAGGATGAGAGGAGACAGCCTCAAGGTGCGCCAGGGGTGGCTCAGGTTCGATATGGCATTTGGGCACATGGTCCAGCCTTGGCAGTGCTGGACTCAATGGTCTCAGAGGCCTTTTCCAACACAAACCCTTCCATGACTGTCACTGGGAGCTATCCCAAACCAAATCTGAGCCTCAGCCACTTACAGAAGAGTTCAAATTTTTAGGAAAGCTCATTCCAACCCCATTTTCTCCCAGTATTTTCCCAAATTCCATCTCTCTTGAGCCATTCCCACCACCCTCCTTGGCTTGCCCCCTCCAAAAGCTCCCACAGATCCAAAGCTGCTGCTCCTCACCCCACTGCAAGGAGGCTGGAGGTGCCCAAGGATCTGGGAAGGGACATGGATGGGACAATGGTCCCAGCTGACCACAGGGACATCCCACACCATGATGGGAATCAGGAATAAAACTGGGAGAAAGAGAAAGGAGGGTGCACCGGCACAGGTTGCCCAGGGAAGCTGTGGCTGCTCCATCCCTGGAAGTGTTCCAGGCCAGATTGGATGTGGCTTGGATCAACCTGTGGAAGATGTCCCTGAGATGATCTTTAAGGTCCCTTCCCACCCAAACCATTCCATGATTCCCTGGTGACATTTGCCTTCCCAAGCCACCAAGGCCTTTGGTGTCCCTGCCAGTCCCTTTGGGACTATTCAGAGATCAGCCCTGGCTCACCTGGTCTCTCCCTGCAGGAAGGATGGGTTGGAGACTTGAAGGTGTCCATGGCTGTGGTCCTGATCCTATGGGACAGGAGGTGACACTAAGGGACACAAGTGACCCAAATGACACCTGGGCAGTGGTCCAGTTGCTGGTTTGTTTTCTCCGAGGTGACACCTGGACCAGGGAAGAGCTTCCCAGCACTCCCAGCTCTGTGGATCCCTTCTTCCCAGTCCTACCACTATGTCCCTGCCAGGGCTGGCTCATGGTAGGGGTGAACCCCCAAATGGGTCTGGGGGTGGCACGTGAGACAGGTGTCCCCAGGGAGGTGGCACCGAGGGAAGGAGATGGAGGGGTGGGAAGTGTCTCCAGGGAGCCCCACATGGACAGAGAACCACATGGACAGGGACCCCCATGGACATGGACCCCATGGACAGGCACCCCCAGCTGAGGTGGCACCTGGCCAAGGGTGGCATTGGGGGTCCCAACTCTGGCATGAGGGGCTCCCAAATTGGAGGGGCAGGAGGGGACCCCCAGATCCCATGGCAGATGGGGGAAGTTGGGGTCCCAGTTTGGGGGGGCAGAAGACTCCTAGGTCCCATCTCAGCGGCTGAGGGGGTCCCAGAT